TAACAATTCAGCCATGCGGGGGAAATTACAAGTTTTTCACGCGTGGATCATAAGAAAGATGATCCACGGCTTAATCGTACGACAAAGAACAGCTTCAAGTCCGAATTAGTGGGTTAATTTGGAAATGAAGTGAGAAGTAACTTCTGTCTACGCTAGGGGTTCTTAACCTTATTCTGCAAGCTTTCGTCGATCCCAAAGCTTTGAACAGAATCAACCAGTGGCAACAACTTTTATAAGACGAAAGCCAATTTAGTGAAAGGATTTACAAAATGCAACCGTATTCAATTAACGGAGTATGAATTTGATGTTTCAAGTGACATGCATCATCCAAACACCAACCGCATGGGTACTCCACTGGTTATGTGATCATATAGAAAGAATTCTGAAGAGAGAGCAAACGTTTAGAATTTTTAAAACATGGGAAATATCATGTGCCCCGCTCATCAGCACAGTGAGTGAGCACACACACAAAAAAATTCATTCCCAGCTAAACGAACAAGGCTTGGGCCAGAAATAACACACAGACAATACGAGAATGCATTGAACTTTGGCTGTTGTACTTCTTGATGATGCTGATAATACCAGTTCAATCTAATACAAAGATAACGTGTGGAATACATTGTGATAAAGTGGTGAAGATAGTCAAAAGCCATGAAAAATCAAACTGGTCGAGCCTTGCTGAAAAGGTGATAAAGTGTTTTTAAGAAATCTCACGAGTCATTTGGGACCTCCTGAAGTATGCGCACCAAGATGGCGCACAACCTAAACCCAGATTGTGTACCAGGTTGGGGTTCAGGTTGTGCGACATCTTGGTGCGCATACTTCAGAAGTACCGTCATTTTAATGTGATTTAGACAAAAGAGATCAATGTCATACAATAATAGTAAAACACTGTTCGCTTTATTAGTATGTCCCTCACTCACATTCGTCCACTGTTATCAGAGACCCAAAATACTAAAGTACTAGACTATGATCATTCGATGAATTTAAATAGGCTTTTATTCAGTTATTTTAGGCAAAGACATACATCATTGAAATGTGATAAAACACTGAATATTACCATAAACTTGCTCTTCAATTTCAGAGTAATTATTTGATAGATTATAAGATATCGTATAGTAAATTGTTCTGTAATTTGACAAAACAAATTTATTTCAAGCTTATACTGTAAGCTTTACTATAATTATGCAATTGAAAGTTCGTTCAGATTTTAGATTATATTTCTTATTAAACACGTTCTTTCACATCGCGGGCTTCGGTTGCCGAGTTAATAATATCCGAAAAATTTTATGCAGGCGATTCTTTGTTTCGAAAACTTGTCATCCGGAGAGAACTTGGCTGGTTCAGCCGACCGTGAACCATCAGGAGCTAAACCTTTATGGTGTAAACAATGTTATTGTTCAATAGTCTATATTTTTCTTGGATCAAATCTTAATACAACTAAATAGCCCAACAACAGAAATTGAAACAAGAAAACAATTGATTGCGCATGATTATCCGAACAAATTCTATTCTTGGTTGACACATTTCACTAAAAACTCTTAAAAATCAATACACTACAGTTACACCGTTGTGTCGCAACAGTTTAGGTCGCAGAAGACTTGTTGGAAGAAAAATAACTAACTATAAATTGGAAAGTCAGAGGGGGCAAAATACCCAAATTTAAAATTGCAACTTTGAACATATATGAGATGGCTCAAGTCATCCATTGCCCAGACTTCAGATACCAGTCAGATAAGCGATGAAAACACTGTCCATTGTTTTACATAAATTGATTTACGATATTACTCAGCGAACTGATAAGGTCGTCCAGGACGGAGTGACGCTAATTTTAAACAAATCGGCTATTATGTCTCTTCTCTAACATGCCCCGATTTCATATTCATTCATGTACACCTATTTTCAACTAGTCCGTAAAGCTACATGCCCCACCGGTATCGATTTTAGGAACCCATGTTGTATTCTGTCGTATTCGCGTCATTGGTTCGATTAATTTCATGAGTATTTGCCTCCCGAGCTTGGGACATTTTATCACTGCTGGTAGCAGTGCTTTTCCTAACAGTCTGTGAATACAAGACTCTCATGTGAACCCGTCTAACTTCTGTTTGGTTATTAATCAATCTAGTTATGTTCATCATAAACTTGAAAATAGCTACCTTTTATTCCTTTTTTTTTCATTTAAAAGAGGTGAACTTTGTATGAAGCAAGTTATTGATATATATATATATATATATATATATATATATATTAATCTTACGGTGATTGAGAAATAATTGGCGATGGGTCGTGGATCGTCGATGAATGTTATTTCGGCAGTTTGTGTAGCTGCCAAAGCGCAGAATTTTGCCGTATTTTCACCACGATCCAAGGAGTGTTAAAATGAAAATACAAAAGATACAAAAGAAATTTGATTTAAAACAAGCCCTTGTTTTAAAACAGGGAGACCCGAACGACACAAGTACCTCTTCACGCTATAGTAATTATATAAGAATACCACCTATGCTTAGTTAGGGCTATGTTACACCAATTCAGTGAGTTTAGAGTCTAGTTTTATTGGAAATTTATTGATAGATCGTAGTCACGTTGGAATTCACGATCACATGTCTGAAGAACCCACTCTCACGATCGCATTTATTCTAAATAATTGCGAGTCTGTTCGTGAGCATGTTCTTCTCGGATACACATGTAATTGTGTTTAGTTATCATATATTTTTATATAATTTTTCAACTTATATAATCATGTACCGACAAATATATCTAATGAAACATTCTACCTCAATACACTCAGAAGAGTTCCGACGGGCTAAAAAAGCATAAGTCAAAATAGTTAATTATCAAATTTAAATATTACTAAAATTGCAAAGAGACTTCGATATGCAATCACCATAGAAATAACCTCTCATTCTGCACACGTCATTTAAGTCACCCATATTGTGTGGCAGACGACGTACTCACTTGGGGTGAACGAAGAAAGCTCATGAGAGCTTCATTTTAGATCCTATTCATAGCTCAGTATAGTGAGATGATTTCCTTCTTACATTCGTTTTGTTTTACACTTTCGACAACGGTGTAGATGTAAAACTTTGTGAAGGGTTTAACGATGGTTAGCGCGACGTCAAAGGTTAATATACAATTGTTATATTGTGATTAGGATATGAATCCACTTGATGTCCAATTCATCAACTCATTAAATGGTACTCAATACAATATTAACCCTAACGGCGTAAATGAAAGAATGTAAATATAATTAGCGGGCATGTCAATTCATTTCAATAAGATCAGACAAACAAATATGAGCTATTGATTTTGACAGGATTAAAATTCTCGAAAAAAAAACTTGAAAGAACAAGTCCGTTAGAATATCAGGAAATAAATAGAGAGGGACAAGGTTTCGACAAAGGAAATAGGTTTGTAGTTTGGACCCTTTTTTTGGCCATGTATATTTGATATTCTTCTAGTTGGGAGGTTTAGTTCAGCCATAAAAGCGTCAGTCCTAATACGTATCAGTGTATCAGACAAATCGGTAGTCGACCAAAAAATTCGAGTCAAAATTGCTGCGGTACTCGGAAATTTGGATCTCTAACATCCGAGCGCGCGGCTGAGTGAGATGACGCCACCAGAACTTACCTGAACCACGCATCTCGGCTGCCTTTCGACTATTTAGCAAGCATCAGTTCAAGTCAAAACGTTATCGGGATTTTTGTTATTTAATGCTTTTTCTTGCTATTTGCCGTTAGTCATGTCCACAAAGGAAATACGAGACAAACGGAAAGAGAAGAGAAAAACAGTGACAATAACTATCATCTATCGAGTTGGAAAAAAAATTATTGCAAAATATGAGAATGGTTTTCGAGTGTCTCATATCGTATAACAGTGTGACATGGCGAAGTCTACGATTTCCACGTTTTTGAAAAATAAGGAAATAATGAAGAAAACTAATGTTGCGCGGGGAGTGACAGCAATTAGTAAGCAAGCGCCTTAAATAAATAATGGACGAAGTGGAAATGTTGCAGCTTTATTACAATTACAATTATTGTTGTTCACGTTTTGATAATATTTCGGATACGTAAGAACGTATTAAAATAATTACTATTGTTTCTTATGGCAAAAAAGTTTCGGTACTCGAACAAATCGGTAGTCAAACAACAATCCCAAACGAATTATGTTCGACTATCATTATATAGTTATATTCATTCCAAATACCAAGGAATAGATCAAAGTTGATTGATTTTCTCAGGATTTTATCCGACATTGAAACTGAGACTGTATCAAGGTTAACATAACGACTGATCGACGACTGATGATTTGTTTGTTTTTGAATTACAGAGAGACTTACCACTGATCCCTCGATCGAAATCTAGAACAAATCCCAAAACGCTTTTTTCATTAAAACGTCATATTAGGACAGGAGTAGAGTGTTAACTCGTAAATTAGAAAATAGGACAGGACTCACGCATCCAGGGGGGAGGAAAACCGATAAGACGGCTTAATCATATGGCGAGCCACGGCCTCTCGTCTGGCTATCAGTCGATGTCGGGTATGGATTAGTTAACCAGTTATTTGTTTTCGAATGCATAAACTTGATGGTGGGGGAAGCTGTAACCGCGCGACAGGCGGTTACGTGACCAAGCAATCCTCTCACACATAATTATTTCCCAATGGGATTAGAACCTGCGAAACCACGCCAGGGTAATCAGGGGTGCGGTGGCGAGCGTATTCCTAACGCTTATCACAATTTGCCACATGGCCGAGCCGAAATAAGAGCATTTGAAAAGTCGTTAATAAATATTAAAATGGTCAAGAATTAGGCCATGAGATTTTCTCTTTATTTTTCTTCGGGGTTGAGTTTTTAGGACTTCTTGTGGTTAAGCATAGAACATGATTAATCTTGTATCATCAGCAGTGCCCAAACCACCCCTTTCCTCAGCAAACTTGACTTAAGAATTAAAATGTTCTAGTGACTTAATGTGCTTATTTTATCAGACCGTGTAACAGAGCGTAATGCGTACTTCACCTGCTGGACGTTTATTACTAACTTGTATTTGTTCGTTCGTGTTTCCGTTATTTTTGTTGGCAATATTGGAATATAATTCCGAACACGACGAAATGGAATTTGATGTAAGTGCTGGTGTATGTAAGTATGCTAAAGCATAGCTGTGGTTTCTCTTAAGATATTTAAATTCAATTTGTTTTTCTGTTAGTTAGTCGCATTTCACCAATAAAAGACGGCATTTTTCAGTAAATGTGGCCACAATTGCAATTACTTAACTGAAGTTTCATCTCATGTGATATAAACAATCGATAAATAGAACTTGGCCATATATCTATATCTCATCGTTAAAATTATATATATTCAACATTTTGAAATCTCGTCGTCATTTTAATAATACAAAACTCGCACTAAATACAATTGATCGCTGTTTCAGACATCGTATTGATTGCAAGCTTACGATGAAGTAAATAATGAATACATCACTATCCACACTTTTGGGAAATGATTTCAATTACATTAAATAGACCAGGAATGGCGAACCACTGACCGCGTTTTATTCTTGACCCGCCAAGGCACGAATAAAATACTAACATACTACTCAGTTGGGCAGTCAGGGCTGCGATCGCTCATATTAAAATTGTTAATATCCGGGCCGGTATGGTAATTTTCAAAACCCCTAATGTTGGACGCATGCCAATGTCCTCACCGCTGTGTACCGTTCGTTATTCAGCTATTGTTTATGACATAATATTGCAAAATTGATCTGTTTATTTCCCGCAACGTCTTGTCCCTTTCGGAAGTGCATCTGCAAACTGTTTTAGGGGTTATACGAGAACTAGATGTTACTTCGCATTTTATTAGTTTCTCGCTTACAATGCCGATGAGAAAACAAAAACTTTCAGACTTGACATAAAAATCTAGAGATCTGAAATAACAATGAGGCAGTGTGAGAGTGTCCTAATGTGGCTGAAAGCTGATCGAAAAATATAACTCTATCAGAGTGAAATACCCTCCAAACTCTTAGGTCGTAAAATAATTTGCCGCATCATACTAAACGTTTTTGGTAATTCATATGCATGTTTTCGTACTAATTTCATAAAATCGAGTGCCATAAAAAGTCCCTGATAGAAGTTCTGCATAAGTAAAGCACAAAACTACACCAACAGAAGCTTATAAGATTTGTTTCAGAAGTTCCTTATAGATACAAAATTAGTTAAATATCCGTGACCCATTCTCTTCTGTTTCGTGTTAAAAATATAATTTTTGACCCATTCATAGAAGAAGGTTCGCCATTCCTGAAATAGACCGACTTAAGCAACAAACTTGTACTGATTTTACTTCTCGTTTATTTCAGTTTCATGATCGAAGAAAAATGGAATTAATATTTATTGGAGGAATGCATCGAAGTGGCACAACGCTGATGAGAACAATGCTTGATGCCCATGCTGATATACGATGTGGCCCTGAAATTGCAGTCATAACTGATGTGTTGTTTTTAAGAGAGGAAATTTCAAAGTAAATGGTTTATGGATATTACTATATAGTTAAAAATTCTGCAAAAATGTGTGAATATCATCAGTATTATGAATCTATGTTTTATGAACAATAACGAAAATAAGAACTTATATGTATCCGATAAGCAAAGCAAAAATTTATGTTTCCCCTCAAAAGCAAGGCTGCATCGAGTGTGCAGAATGTAGAATTTGTAGATGGTAGTAAAAACAAAGGAGCATTTTAAATGTGAAATATATATTTGTTGTCATGCAGTGATCCAGTAATTGCCTCCTATCTTTCCAACATTGACGTGTATCCTGTAGTAACTGACAATGCTGTTGCACAATTTATTCTGGAAGTAATAATTCGTCATGGGCCACCGGCTATTCGCTACTGTAACAAGGATCCTTTTCAAATGAAGTATTCAAAGTAAGATGATATGATTTTAAGCGAGTATCTGTACCCGTTAGTATGTCTTCACATGATAGATATCATTCGTGTGGTGTCTGATAATGGATAAGCTCTTGATCTAGACAAAAATAATAATCGCAAACACATTATATTTTGTCTTCTAAATTACATATGTTTCGTATTTACACCATTGAATCGCTGTGTTTCCAAAATAGCTAAGCCTTGCCTAACACAATAGAATTGTGTATAATCTCATAACAGCAAACACAAAGCATTGAGATTTGATTTTGTTTCGATGCAACAATCAAGATCCCTGAGTATCCGGTTATCAAATGAATATATCTTCGTGATATATATCACATCAGTTGAAAGTTTTGTTTGTCACGCATTTAAGGAATGTTTTTCTTAAACGTTGTGACTAAGAAATGAGGTTAATTCGTTTGATTTAAATTGGTTTGTTGACTTGAACGACAAAATTCGAATTAAAAGTTGGTAACTATGACCTTCACGTCTTCGTAACGAATTCAAAAGCCGCTGATTAAACAGAAAATTTTACGTGTTTTTGAATCAACTAAAATGCACCTGTTGTGATTGGTAATGCAATTTCAATTAATGGTTTAGTTATAGAATTGACATATGTGCGAATATAACATTTTTTAACAATTTTAGATATCTCCATAACTTGTTTCCAAACGCAAAGTTTGTTTTGATGATACGTGATGGAAGAGCAATGACTCATTCTATCATATCGAGAAAACTTAAGATATGGAAGTATAACATTGATAGTTATAGGTGGGTAATGTTAAAATGAGTTCTAAGCAGCGCACAAATCGGTAGACTGTGTCAGGATTGAACTCAAATACACAGTTGACTAGGCCTACATACTTTTAAAATATAAGCCCTACTTGACCGTAATCTCCCAAACAGTAGGCCTATTATGATTTGATATTTCAATAATGGAAATTTTTATTATGATCAAAGACAACATTCAAAAATAAGAACAACCCAATCGGTTAGGTGTAACTTTTATAGAAATATGATTAGCCTATACTGTAAATCAGGGATCGGCAACCTACGGCCCGCGGAGCAATATAATCCGGCCCACGACGCTACACTGAAATATAGTAACAAAACAACTATTTTGCCGATTATATTCTTTACGTAACATAATTTATTTTGAGACACGTGTAGACTACATTATATTATATTCTAACAAGTATATAATTCTCGTTTAATGAGCCTATAATTTTATTATAATCAGACAAATAGCAACAAAACGTGGAAAAGTTGATGCCGAGTCCAAATAAAGTAATGGCGCAGAAAATATTCAAATGATCAGTCTTCGCGCGATGCTTGAAATTTAACGTCGGATCTGTGTGAAAAAATGTGATTAGTCTTTCATTCGTGTTCAAACATTCCTGTTTAAAAATATGTGCGGCCCGCCAATGACTTGCAACCTTTAATTTTGGCCCGCAAGCGATAAAAGGTTGCCAACCCCTGCTGTAAATGGTTATTGATGAGTGGTGTTTACTGTCAAATTTTTAACCGAGGTCAAACTTAATTAATAATCTGATTTAAATTTCGTATTCTTATACTTGATTCTACTTCCCAAAGAGCACTGTTTATTTTTTCTGATTTTAAATTGGATTCTCGATATATATATCGGAACCTTATAATACATTTTGTTTCAGGGAAACGCTGTCAATATGGAACGAAAACATTGAAATAATGTATAAACAATGTATAGAGCTTGGTGACAAGACATGCCTACTTGTACATTACGAACAATTAATATTACAACCAGTCTCAACTACCAAAAAATTGTTTAAGTTTATCGGAATACCTTGGAGTAGTGCAGTTCTGCATCATGAAAAACATACGAATGAAAGTGATTTCTCAACGTGAGCACATGTAGAAATAAAATGTTCTTTTTATCTGTCATATGTATTACCACTGTGTTTTACAAGGTATTTTACATCGTCCGTCGGTCTAGCTCTAGATAAGCAGCCATTTATATCTAAATAGCTTAATTTATATTGAAAATTTCTCTAAAATGATTGCACAGTTGTGAATAAACAAACAATTACTCATGACCTATAAAAACATCAACTCCCAACCTAAACTAAAAATATTCGATAATTTAGACTTATTTAGTTGAGCTGTCCACTGAACAAGTACCAAATCCTTTGTATTTGAGTGGGCTCACGCAATGGTAAAACCACTCTATCTATATTATCTTGACAGGGCCGAGGTATCCACTGATCAAGTATCCAAACCCCTGTATTTGGCCGGACTCACACAATGGTTTGGAAATATTCCGGAAGACGTAGAAAGAGATATGATGAAAATTGCACCAATGCTAAGTGTTCTAGGATATAATCCAGAAGACAAGACCCCCAACTATGGAGAACCAGATGAGTTCGTCAAAGCAAAGGTTATCGTTTTTCTATTCCTGCTATTTTCTTTATATATACACTTCTGTATTATTCAAATTTTTCTTGTTTCAATCTTGAAAAAATCTTCTTCTTTTTTTTCCCCGGTTTAATTTAATTTTTTTCTTCATAAGAGATAAATGAAGAATATAATTTTACAGATTAATAAAGAAAAGAAGAATAACATCACAAGTTAACGTCTTTATAACGGGCTATACAACGCCGCAGTATGGTTGCTTGATCTCATTGTAATGAAAATTGTTAATACATTTGCAATATATTACAACTTACATATTATTTATACCAGATAATTATGTTCAGTCGGACAGAAATTGTAATTGGCAAGTGTTGCTTTATACCAATATATACGGACTTTTAACGATGCTATAATATATATATATATATGCCAAATCATTAGGGCTACATTCTATCAGTATTGCTGTGTTGTGTCACTGACCCTCTTTGATATCCGTTGTAATACATATTTTTTTATTTCCCCCCTAGACCAGTAGTTCTCAACCGGGGGCCGGTGGCCCCCCAAGGGAGCCACGACACAAGGCTAATAATTTATTATAGAGCGACTTCGTTTGCATACTTTTCATTTAAAAGAAAATCCACCTCAGTTTTATTACCTCAGTCACAAGGTGTATTCACTTTCTTGTGTGAGCGAATTGTTTGATCATAATTGAATTTTGAATATACTAATCAGAATAGTTTGTTAGTAGGCCATCTAACCTGCAGACGAGCAGTTTCGCTAGACTGCGAGATGCACTAGTGCAAAAAGCCTCCGGAAAGGGGCCACGAGCCGTAAAAGGTTGAGAACCACAACCACTGCCCTGGACTATTATGCGTACCCCTTATTGCTTATTCAATGCCGTTTTGCCCAGTCTGCCTATTGGAAAGATTTGCATTAGGAGGTGCGGTCAGATGATAAGTTTCTCTGCCTTCTTCGTCCGGTTGAGTCGGAGTTGGTTGCTTTTTACTTGTGTCTGCTACTTATCCTATTTCAAGTGTCGAGTTTTTTTTTCAATAAATAAACAATCCGGGTCCTATCATATAACAAACAAAACTATAACAATGGCGAGCATGCCAGGATGTGGTCGACAACGAACCATGAACAATCCGCGACAGTTGTTTACACGCCGGCAGTCCTCACTCCAAATTGTGGAAATGTCACTCCGCAGCGCGATCAACTTTGGAGAAAGTTGAAAAATTTTGTTTCCTTGTTAAACTTTTGGCTGGCGGAAACTGACTTTTTAACGACTATGACTTCCATTGCTGTCGTTAAATATTGTAAAACCTGGGTAGTTCAACTTAGTAGATGGCGACTTCAAACTCCGCAGGCTACCTCAGCAGGATGCAATATGAAACAATGAACTGAATTAATATTTTAACTGACCGTTCAAATTTTATTATCATGCTTAATTAGACAAAGACAATAAAGACAGCAAATTAGGTTAAAGATAATAAATTACAATTACATCAAATTTGAATCCAGCAATCAATAGAAACAGTTCTTTTTGTCAAAGTAGCATGCTGGGCCCTTTCTTTCTCATATAGGTCATAGCACAAAATCAGATATATTCCTCCCTTCCTTCCCCCCATGAAACTATATTACTCTATTGTGATCCGAATACAATTAGGGCAATCCATGACATGGAAACAATGCTTCTTTTTATAAAAAATTAGCCTTAAATAGTACTTTTATACATTTATTTTCTTCTGGAAAAAATGCAATCATGACGGGCTTCGTTGAAATTCTTTTCTTTAAGTTTATTTTTCCTTTAATTTTTACCACATTCGGCTTCAATTTTATAAACAAGAGAGCTATGCTCTAATATATGGACACGTAGCGCCACCCAATGGCAATAATTTTGATGACGTCATAGCAAAAAAAAAAGTAATAGCCTTCTGGAGAAAAATTTTATCTTCAACCACTGAAAATTTCAAAGCAATTGGTCCAGTATTCGAAGAGAAAAGCGACTTTTTAAAAACGTGTCAAAGAACAAGAACAACATAATATTGAAACGATCGTTATGTCCACTACGTGTCCAATAAAACAAGAATACCTAAGAGTTTGACACTCGAACTGAAGTATTTCAACAAAATCCGTATGGTTCACATTTTTGCTGAAATAGATATATTCTATCAAAGACCTTACTAGCGCCCTTGAGTGACGCATACCATATAGGCATAAGAACCGCAAATTTATCTCTTATACTTCGCCCATTCATACTATATGGTCTCAATACTCAAAGGCGCTGTATTTACGCCTAAATTTTGATTTCATTGTTATGTATATGTTTATTTGGTGTTGTGTTGTCTCTATTTAATATATTGTCTTGTCTTATAAACTACCCTATATAAACAGTTTTGTATACTCCACCCATACCACTTTCACCACACCAACCTTTGCCCCACCTTGCACAAATGTCCATATAAGGGACCATATTATACATATTTAATTCAATATTTTTTGTTTTATATTTGTCAAGGGTGCATGCCGCACATTTGTGTTTTAGGCCAGTACGGTCTTGTGCATGTATCCCGTCTTAAATAATAATAATCGTTCATTTATTTTCATATCACTATTACGAGACGAATAAACATACATACATACATACATACAGTTGGCCCAGCGTAGTTAGATTAAGACACTCTATATGGCCAATTCTCTACCAAATAGTTCAATCTGTCTTCGAGATTGGGTCTAGCAAAACAGAGAGTCCTTTTCTGGCGCCATGACCAACAGCTGCTAACGTTTCGTACCGACACCACCATATGAACTCCACACCAGCCTCATTGCACCTGTCTATACAGTCATATATATATATATATATAGCAGCTTGTCCCAGCTGCGACGACATCGAGTATCACATTTCATATAATATACAACCTGGGAATACATAAGTTATAGGTATGCCAGGTATTATATATTGAGAGTGTATGTATCGTAAGCATCCGGAAGCATATTATACATCAATTTGGTAATTTCATGAATATATACATCGTTCAATCCCGAAAGGTGCATGCGCTTATAAACAGGACCCATGCAATGACGCAGTGGAGTCTTACTAATAACTCTGTTGTAGGACTGCGAGAAAATAGAGTCTATTTTTATCAGCTGTGCCCCAAACCACAATCCTGTACGGAACATAAGAAGTTACAGATCCTCCAATCCAGGCTTGATTATATGATGATTGTATTGAGTATATATAGGATAATGCATGTTTAGTTTAAATTATCAAAAATTGGGGTATGACCTTGATTGGGTAAAATACTTTTGTAATGATCGAATATTAAAATGAGCTAAAGTTAATTGATATTTTGACGAGCTAGAACTTTTCAATGTCTTTAGAACATCATCAACAGTTTCAAGTGAAAAACAAGGCTTGACATTTTCATAATTGAAATTTGACGTATCAGGGGTTCCTAGTTTTTTTTTCTATTGTATATAAACAATTATTGAATTAAAAAGAAACGTTTCGAACAAGATGGATAAAAAATACTGTTACGTTACCGGTCAACAGTATTTGAACAATTCGTGCAAAATTGCTCAGAAGACATTTAGCTAATCTACTGTACTGAATATTTTGAAAAAAATCGGCCATATTCCACCAAGATCCTTTCTAGTAACGATGGACGTGACTTCCTTATCCCACAGAATGATGGTATCCGAACGGAAGAAAAAGATCTTAACAAAACATAGTAACGACAAACGCGAAATCCCATGAATTAAAAAAGCAGTCAATGTGTTTCTCTACCACAACAATTTTGTATTCAATGGAAAACATTGCCTTCAAATCAACGGAACAGCAATGGGAACCAAGATGGTACCTAAATGCGCGAACTCATTCATGGCAAACTTGGAGTCAGAGATGCTACAGCCAAGGTCAAACCTCCGTACTATTTCAGATACATCGATGACTGCTTTCTAATCCGAACACACGGCGTAACCAAGATCAAAGAGTTCATAAACAATGCAAATTCGATACATCCCACCATTAAGTTCACATTCGATTATTCACCGGACAAAATTGCGTTTTTAGGCATAAGAGTTCATATATATCACAGACACTAATTTAGAAACTGAAAATCACACCAATATCTTCTACCCTCGTCGTGCCACCCCAAATTTGTTACTACGAAAATTATAAAAGACCTATTTATACGAATAAGTAGACGTGTTCAACTGACGAATTTTTCAACAAACATGCCAAAGGCATGGAAAACTACCAGATGAAAATGAATTGCAAACAGACTTTGATAGGCAAAGCAATGAACATGATAAAGGAAATGACTAGAGATTCGCTTCTAACACCTAAACTAAATCTTAGAGGTCAACAATAGCTGCCATTCGTCACCAACAATCACCCAAACCAGCCAAACTTCGAAAAGATATTTCTCTGACTATTAATATATACTTGACAACAATGAAAGACTGACAAACACTTTTCCCGTAGCTTTTAGAAAATGCTCGACAGTGCGAGACAGGCTCAGGCTGGCCGGTTAGAGCCCAACTGAAACCAGAAACATCTAAAGAAGTAAAACCAGGATTATATAAATGCAACAGGAAATCCTGCACCACATGTAAGCATTCTGAAGAAACCAAAACAAGTACCAGCAACACTATACAAGAGTTTAACTAAACATCAATCAAAGAATAACGTGCAAGTCGGAAAATGTCATAGTTATACCCAACGACTAACATACCGGTTATACCTAATAATCTGCAAGAAATGCGTTATGCAATATATAGGCGACGCAGGCAGACATTTGAAATACAGGATAACGGAACACATCAGGAGCATCAGTCAAAGAAACAAAGATCTCGTAGTTGGCGAACACCTCAGCCAACAATTAAAGCCACTCGATAAAGACTTTTCAGTAATTAGAATAGAAAAACTTTTTCGAGATTAAGCATACCGGCAAACCAAAGAAACCTATTTCATTAACAAATTTGGAACATTGAAACCACTAGGATTGAATTTACAAAACGGATAAAACCACCAATTTATATATTATTTGAACATTATTAACTATTACACGCTCAATACTTTATCTTTGACCTTCACCTGTTATTTTTGTTTTGCTTATGTGTATTTGTTGTGTTGTTTTTATATGGACCACAGCGGTCTGGAGTAATAAACGAATTGAATTAACCTCGAATGTAATAATGCTTGGTCCATAGTTATCCAATGTTTTAACCTCCAACATGAACTTCACGAACTCTATTGTTGCAGTCCTGGGGCACCAACGTGAAATTGTTTAACTAACTTTTTAATTGTTACATAGAATTGTAGGACATTTATTGATTGACATTTAAATTTGACTTCCCTACTGTTCTTGTACTGCCTCCAATTTTATTTCTCTCTATTTAAAACAAACCCAGCAATTGCTAACATTATTTTTGTGCATGCCATCGCGTTTCTTATCATAGTTGAAAAATGGTTGTCTGAAGAAGTCTGACCTCAGTCAGACGAAACGTTACAGAAATACATTTGTGTTAGTGTACAGCATCAAAAACTAACTATGAGTATTTCAAAATGCAATTATGATAGTTCAACTATATATGACAGCTTTGTTATTGGGATATATTTATATAAAAGAAGTCATGCCTGCAATACCGTAATCTTTAATTTTGATAGTGGCCTGCTTTTTGGCTATGAACTGATTCCTTATGCTTCAATTGGTAAAACAAACTATAAGTGGTCCTGTGTTACGACCAGCGCCGGATTAACCATTAAACAATATAAGCACGTGCTTAGGGCACCAAGCAAAGAGGGGCACCACAGAAATTTTAGAGCAGAAATTTATATAGTTTATCGGTGACTCGGTGTTTATTAGAATATTACGAGTTCACCAGACGACTCAAACTTCAAAATGTTCGCTTATTTTTCGTCTTCATATTACCCTTCTTTATTAAAAATAAACACTGAAACTTTTTTGGGGGCAAGAAATTGGCCTATGGGTCGTTTTCCTAAATTGTTGTTGTTTTTTCTTTCTAGTATTCTCCTTGTTGCTGCATTTTTGTTTTTAAAAAAATTCTTTTCGCTTCAACAATTGGACCAATGAACTATGTGGCGGTTCCACGATCGCATTTCAACGATCTAGTGGTCAGCGAAGTCGGGAGTTTTTTGATAAGGTAGACCAGGATGGTCCAAACCCTGTCATGTTGATACATTCCGTGCGGCTCACCGAACAATTTTAGCGTATATTTGTATCCAATGGAGGAACGTTTTTGAGTTTTTTTTAGCTATTCCAACTGGGGTTGGGATCCCGAGATTCAAACCCCTTTTTCTAACGCTTTGTGCCTTCATTTTGGTAAAAACACTCCTCTGTTCTTAAGCGTCGGCCATGTGACAGTAGTGACGAAACGCAGGGCCGACTTAACGCCGCGCAATCCAGTTTTTTTTCTTCAGCTAGGTCCCGAAATACCAACTTAGATGGACCTGGTTGGTATTTGACGATGGCACTAAGCTTGCTCACGCTACAAGTTTTTAAATAACTCAATATAGCAATTCGTAATAAAATGAGTGTCGCAAGAAAGGTGACATAAGGAAAAACACAGTGTCTGGTTTGATTTCAAGTAATATCTGTCACGAAAGAATATAATTTGAAGCGATATTAAACGCGAGATGCGCAAAATACAACGGTAATTCTCGGAAATCAACTTTAAAATAACCTGCGGTTTTCTAAATTTAAAGTAAGTAAACTCGCAATATTTCGATCACTTTTGGGTTTTCCCCGACTTGCGGCTCGCGAGACCTCCTCAAAAGTTTTTGCGGTCCTTCAACCTAGCAACCTTGAACCCCCCTGAGGTAGACTACAAGGTACCGGTAAAATTTCAAACTACAGCGTCTACCTGTATCCTTTGGTATCGTTGAGACTGGAGGCATGAATCTTTATTGTCACACCCCCTCAGGATTAGAGCTCAACCGATATTGCGTGTTTGCCGATATATCATATCGGCAGTAAACGGCCGATATATATATATCGGCTATATATAACAGTTAAAAAACCTAAAAATGTTCGTAAAAGTTGTTTTTTTTACTGTTGGTTGTGAATATTTTTAATGGATAATACACTTGTGGTTTATTGTTTTTATAATTAAATTACACATGAGGGGGCACCAAAGGGGCTTAATCCGCCCCTAATTACGACCGTCTCTTCTTGGGGTTCTGTGCGATATAGATGAGGTTTTTTATCGGCGATCGTTTGCCCAGATCCACCATAATCTTGTCTGTATTTTCACAATCCTTTAAATGGAATGACACGGAATTCAAGGTTCTTTTTCCGTATATACTGAGCATGTCTTCAAACTCAGTATCAAAACTCTTTTGCAAAGACGTACACCGACTATTTGAACTATCTTCTACAAACGGTCCTAATTTAAACTTTAGGATTTTTGGTAATTTCTGATTCCGTCAGGTCTAATGATCTTTTTTCAATTCATTAATTTTTTCTTCCACTGCGACTATATTCAGATATTTCAACTGCGTTATCTACTATGTTCAAAGAACTTGCAAATCTTACCCTAACAGCGAATAATGAATTTGTGTTTATATTTATTATATTCGTGTTTACCAGCATAAAACACAAGGAAAATACAAGAAACACCGTCAATGTCCGCAAGTAAAGAAATACTTCACCATACTGTAGTGCTCCTCGTCCAAGCACTACAGAATGAGCAAAACGCATTCGACAATAGCGCGTGCAACCCGATTACATATAGACTCACATTTTCTGATTTCGTCTTTATTTTTATAAATACCTTTAAAAATCTGTTGATTGATGATGTATCAAAACAACGCCAATAAATAGGGGATATTCGGGATTCTGCGATAGCGTATTGCAACATGTCGCTTTTACTTTTTGTCACAGACACTGCAGTTTCATTTATTAGGTGAGATCTAGGATATGGCAACAATGAAAACGGTTATTTCGGATAGGTCCATGTCCGATTCTATTTTGCAGATGTATTAAGACAGTGTATTGTTTGGGAGACGCAAGAATCCGCTAAACTAAACAAATCAATGATAAAATAGTTGAAACTTCATTTTGAAGGCGAAGTCATATATACCTTTGCCAAATGACTTGGGGATACATGGAAATTCCATAAAAGATGGTGATCATTTTATAGTAAATTCTCCCTTTTCAAAAAAACAACAACAAATTACAAGCAGGCTACTTCAGAATCGCTCAGCCACATCAACAAAAGATGTATATATTTCCTCCAGTATGCCATTTATAATGTTTTATTTGTACCAGAGTTGCATCCGTCTAGGAGCAATTGACTGGTAGACGTAATATCATATACCATTATATAGGCTACCGATGGTCCGATAATCTGCGCATTAATTGCGTTTACACTGGATGTGACGCGGCGACTCTGCTCGCGCGTCACAGGTGTTCACTGTTCACATTGCGCGCGTCATTTTTGCATCACTGAGGGCGCCAAAGGAGCGATTTCGGGCGCATGCCTCGTCGCATCCAGTGTAAACGCCCCTCGAGTCGCACGGCATGGAATAAATCGTAACAATAGATCAAGCGCTATATTCTCTAGTGGTTGATATTTTCGACATGGTACATAGAGACTGGTAAAGTGGTAAGTATGCCAGGTATTTACTGCAGGTTGCAGAATATAATATTTTCACAACAACGACATTCATACATTCATAAATATAAAAAAGTATAAGCACAGTGACAATAAAGCACGAAAATAATGTTTACAACATAACGTAAAGCTTTGATTTCATTAAGCGACAACAAATGTCTGCAAACTGCAAAAAAATAATCGAACCTATCATTAAATATTTAGGGATATCTGAATCGGAGCTGATCGTAACGCGTCTGGCCTCTGTTGAAAGCACAAGTTTTTGTTAATCATTAATCGATCGCATACAACACATTTCAGGATTAACATGAAGACTTACAAATATTGCAATGTGCTCAAATTCACGTCGCTTCACAGTGACATAACTCACCATCATAGATTGAAATTAAAGAGAGTTTTAAAAAAAGTATTATCGGCCAGTTTTCATTTACGCTACGGCAGATGACTTACAATATTGCAATGCGCTAAAATTCATGTCGCTTCACAGTGAAATAACTCACCATCATTGATTGAAATTAATGAGAACTTAATAAAAAAAAAGTATTATCTGCCAATTTTCATTGACGCTGAAGCATTAAATAATCACATGTTTTGAAAATCAGCAGAATATCAGCCGCTTTAAGAAATCTATTAACGGCCTCATAAAATAACTAGCTAAAATAAAACATTTAGTTAACATTGTATCCATAATTGATTCAGATATTTTGATCTTTACCTCATGGCATCAAAAACAGAATGCTGGTACTTTCTAAGAAGCCTTTTTGACGTTATGAATTGAAAAGCAAGAGTATGATGCAAAGAGATAATAATGTAGTACAAAAATAGGTTTATAAAATATTGTATCAATTGCTATGTACTATATCCACTACATGTTTCATATTTCAAAATCTACAAAAATCATTTGAGAACAAGCAGTTTAATCTCCACTTAGTTCAGCCTTTTTATCATCCAAATAAACCTGCAACTCAGACATTGTCTTCCTGATACTATTGGCAGTTTCCATAAGTTCTTCATTATTTTCTTGTTGATTTGGTGGTTGTGTCAGCAGAGATGAATCTGAAATTTTACCTCGACCATCTCTTGTATTCATAGGACTCACACATTCATCATCACTAGAAGATTCTTGTAACATATAAGGGGCTGCCGCTTTGCTTCTATCACGAACACTTCGCTTTATTCTCCGAACACGCTTGATTCCAAATATTTCTTGATCACGAACGCCCTATCCCATGGAAATAAATGCCCCTTAATATATTTGTTTTAAATTTGGCTAGCCAGTAAAGTCTCTAAATTCTCACTTCAGCAATTACATTTTGACCATGTGTCTTATCATAGGTCAGACTAAATAATCGGTACTCCCGTAATATGTTAACCAGGTTATGGTTAGGCCATAATTTTATTCAGATTTTCCTTATTTCAGTTCTATTACGAGTTCTGGGACTGTCTGTGTTAGCCAAGTGAATATCCCCCTGCCCATAGCTTTCAGTCCCTTTAAGCAACTTGATGTAAAATAGGCAAACAAAACTAGTTACCTCCATATTGGTACACATACTTTTGAAGCGCCGAATAATCTGTCTACATCAAAACATGAAATTTTACAATATCTGTTGATAAATGCTTATAAAGCGAGGTTACGTAAATCGAATAAAATTTATACCTTCTTCAACCTTGTTTTATTTCGGTTAGCAGTCTCTTCATTTTCAGAATTGGTGGCAGAAGTGGACGGATATCTTGTAAGGGATGGAACGTTTTCATCATCAGAACTATCACTATGATGTGTAAAATATTCAGACGTAATTTAAGTGCATAAAGTTCATGGAATAAAAATATTCGTAATACCTACCTATCTAAAGTCTTTTGTGTCGCAGACATCGCATCACATGCTCTGGAGAATATCTCTTGTACAGCTTTCTCAGTCTCTTGTAATTTGTCCTCAAGCTGACGGAGTTCATGCATTGCTAAAATTCATGTATAAGTAATATCACATACGCATATGAAGAACAATAAGCAATCAATAAAACTTACTAATTTTGGTTTTTGCTTTTCCCTTGGTTGAACGTTGCTGCTTGTTCCAACTTAATTTCACATGATCATTTTTCCTTACATCTGAATACTAAACAATCGAACAAATGTTAATAAGGGATGATGATGACATGATGTATAATTAAAGCATTGAAATGTCTACATTACCTTTTTTGACATAATTTTTCCCACAACAAACAAAACATAAGCAATTATTCCCAAGCTGTAAAATGGAAGCATAGTGTTTGCCCAATTTTTTTTCTTCCCTTTGTTATTATTACCTGTAGAAAAAACATATGGTTTAATTGTAACTTGAATATGAAAAAATTCTTTTATACATCTCAACACTCATAGCCACAGTTATGAGATGAGGAGAAAATACAAAATTTATCCATATTTAATATGAATATTCAATTTTCCGAAATTCAACTGCCCAGTATAATAATCATAATTGGGTATGTTTTATTATGATTACGATAAATTTTGAATAATACAACCTTCTTTCTTTTGAGACTGAGAAGACGAAGTTTGCGAATTAATATCACTTCTGGCACTCGGCATATCCCTGTGGGCAGCATCCTTCATTCTTTTCACACCTGAAAGGAACTGTGTACATTTAGTTTAACAAAATAACGACAAAAAGTTGTTACAAGGCTTTATACCTACCTTGATTCTTTATCCGAGTGAAATATCCAGACATCAATACAGCGATGCACATGGCCACAATGGCAGATATCACAATAACACGCTGCGTCTCCATTTTGGAGTTATTAACATAAGAGTTGAGTATAGAAGCAGTTGAGTTTACATACAAAATATTGATTTATATTTTCATTCGTATCATTTCATTAAGTATGACTTCATCTAAAATTATTTGAAAATAGATTTTAAATTATATGAACTCAAAAACAAGTACCGGTACATCAAATTCGGAATTAAAATTGCATAATTTCAATATGGTGGAAATACAGTATTTAGTGAATGAAACAAAAATCAATTGCACTTGAAATATACATACACACAAATAATATAGCTTTGATGTCAAGCTAATTATCTTTTACAGTCTGGTTGGTGTTAGCACCATTCTAATATATCAGTGATAATATATTAAAATTGATACATATTTCATATATATTGAAAAAGGCCTCATTAATTCTGTGGTAACTGCCAATTTCACTTTTGTGAAGAAATACACATTTTTACGCTGAAAATGCCTTCATACACGCAATGGCAGGATCAAAGAAAAATGAATTAACAAATGACAGAATAACTAGCTGCAACAATGACTCATTGACTAATCATGTTGTAAAGTAGAATACTGATCAGTTGTAACCTTAATATCTTGCAATTAGATGCTAAAGTCTTGACTTCTGCTCAGTAGTGGGACTTGGGCGAGAATGCTCATCCACTGTAAGGATATGACTATAAAGATCCGATTTCATATCATGGACCATCTGTCTTGCATATGTTCGTTTCTCCACTAAAGAACGAGCCATATCTACAGAAGCTTGAACAGCCTGGCCCTCATTCGCAACTTTATCAATTAAACCAAATTCAAGTGCTTCAGAGGCAGTGTAACGTCTTCCATATATTACTGCATCACGTATCTGGCTTGGTGAAAATTTGGTTTTTAACAACACTTGAACAAATGGAGGCATTTGCATTCCCAAATCAACTTCATTCAAGCACATCCATCCTTTCCCATTTTGCATGACACAGTAATCATGAAGAAGAGCGAAAATCACTCCACCAGCAAAACAATGACCATTAATGGCCGCAACAGTTACCATGGGGAAACATAACAAACGCTTTCGCAGCTCCATGAATCGTTTGCCATATTCTGCAAACTCCTCTTGGGAAATCCCCATCAAATATTCAAGATCGAGTCCGTTTGAATAAAACTTGCCAGAACCAGTCGTGACCAGAGCTTTCACATCTGGCCAGCTTTCTACTTTGTCTAGTGCTTCCATCCACTTGTCACAAAATATCATATTAATTCGATTTTGTGATCCAGACATAGTAAGAACAGCAACAATCCCTTTCTTCTCCACACTTATGTGTATAGGAACTTGAGGTGACATGGTGTTGTTTAATAAAATATTAATAGTCTAACTAACCAATATGCAAAGTCAACATACTCGTGAGAGGTGAAATTGAAAAAATGTCATTAAATACAGGAACAAATGAAGAAAATAACAATAGGAAACATGAAACTTACAAAATACTAAATAGAACTTTGTTTTGAAAATCTCATAAGCGACCTATAATAGCATTCAATATACAATGGTCCCTCATTCTGTCCCACAAATCTCCATGTTAGTAAAGATTATGGCTCAATTTATAAAAGGTATAATTAAATAGAATAAACAAAAAGTCCTACCTAATGTCTATCTATTTGTACATAAATACCAGTTTTACACAAAATATTTAGAAATCCTTGACAGTCAGCATTTATAAATATCGCACAAAAAAAGAAATTGAAATTCCACAGGAAAGTTGATCAAAAATGTATTTTACAAGAAATTTGTTTACCATATTTTATATTTAGCCATAAATTTGGTATATTGATACATTCATTATTGCTACATTTATGCTTGACTGGTAAAAATCCTATGCAATTGACGGGAAAGGTATATTATGTATATATAAAAGATGTATGAAAGAGTGTCATCTATGTTATTAAAACTAAACATTAAAACACACAATGAATATCGTTAAAATGTAATGTAATTAATAAATATGGATAGTAAATAATTAGTAATACTGATTCGGTTAATAATTAGTGCATAGATTATGTAACAAATCAATTAAAATCATGTGATAAAATAGTAATTACCTAAAAGAATGATTATAACTTTGGTTTTGGTCTCTCCAACTCTGCCATATCATCAAAAACAATATGGCCATAAAAATCTTCCTTCATATCATGTACAATTTGACGACCATACGACCTTCCAGCTGTGAGTGATTGAGCCAAATCAATAGCTACTTGGACAGATTTACCATTTTCAGCCAGTTTGTCAATAAACCCCAGTTTTAATGCCTGTGGCCCAGTAAAGCGATTCCCAAATATGGTAGCCTCCCTGATCATCACTGGAGTGAATTTGGTCGTTATTATTGCTTTTAGAGAAGGTGAAAATAACAATCCAAGATCTATCTCATTTAGGCACATCCAACCTCGTCCATCATGCATGACTCTGTAGTCATGAAGAAAAGCAATCAACATGCCACCAGCAAAGCAGTGGCCGTTAATTGCTGCCACAGTAACCATTGGAAAACACAAAATGCGCCTTCGTAATTCCAAAAACAGTTTACCAAATTCAGTTCCTTCATCTTCTGTTAACGTCATCAAATTTTCAAGGTCAAGCCCATTGGAATAAAATTTACCAGAACCAGTTGTAACAAGAGCTTTCACCTCCGGCCAGGACTCCACTTTGTCCAGTGCTTTCAGCCACTTTTTGCAAAACATCATGTTAATTCTGTTTTGAGTACCTGACATTGTCAAAATTGCAACTTCTCCATTTTTTGTTACACTCACGTCAACATGAATTGGCGGCGCCATTACAATTTACTTCTCGTATACTGTTATTATTATACTGACGTTCACTAAATTCTGAATTTAACCGTTTATGAGAACATTAGCTCCGACAAGACTATGAATTAATATTGATTATCAATTTAATGGATAGACACATATCTCATTTTTCCACATTTCTTCATTTTACTTGCACCAGTAAAAATCATGTCAGCTTGATCTTAAAATTCAAACAGTCTGACAGTCAGATTCGACACAAAATTGTACAGGAACAGTACCGGTACTTACATTCAGACATTACTGCATTAGGACAGGATTTACATATTTATTCCGGGGAGAGTAAAGCCGATGGATAGCTAAATGATATGTCGAACCACCGTCTCTCGTCCAGACACCAGTGGCAGTAGGTAGCCTACCGTGTATGGCTGTATGGTAATAGTTAGCCAGTTATTCGTTTTCAGTTGCATGTACCGGTAAATACGGTACCGTTATTCTATAATTTACCACTATTGATTGAGTTAGCAATTCTGCAGTTAGGTAGGCTACATGTCATTTAATCCCGTACGGGTATTCACAATCACGCCATAGAACTTGCAGTATGCTTAGCAGTTCGCACAGCCTCCTGCACCCTCAATAACTCGAACACATCCATCAGTTCAAATAAATAAACAAATGTCAACGCTGTTTATCGATTGCCGCGTCTGCAAATGGACGCTCTCGATAGAGTAATCCCCTTACTCGACACCTCTCGCTTTTGGTTCACAGCCGCTGAATTCACAAATTCGTGGATTTTTAAACTGTGTACTCGCACATGTAAGTTACCTATCCAAAAGTTTTTCAGAATGTCGATGCAAGTTTAGTTTATGGTAATAACGAGCATAAAAACGCGCTGGTGATATGCAAATAATGTAAAGTTCGACTTCTTACGACTCTCGATTTTCTCGTTTATTTCTGTAACAACGTCCAGTCAACAATAATCACGATGACGTAACATTGGCACTTTATGCAGTCGTTCAGACACTCCATTCGCTCAGTCAGATGTCAGTTTTAAGTCGTATTTCCAAAAATTATTCGATAGTTCAACCGTAGTAGTATATATTTACGGTTTAACCCTTTCATTCATGACTTTTTCGCATACAACGAGAAAAATATTTTTGTATTGAAATTGTATTGAAAAGTATTCACGATGTCAAAATCATATACTGTAGTTAGTCGTTGCTGCATACTGAAAACGATGATGATTGTTCGGGAACAACATCATGAAAGAAAGGTGATGAGTGAATTTCTTGAAACCCCCATTACTGCAATGAAACTACTAATAATGAACACTAACATTGATCAAATTTACAACGAAATGGACTAGGTCGGGGGAGAACGGACAGGCGGGTAATGTGAACACCTTTTTTGATTTGATCTTACACCCAGATAGCACAGCTACGCCGGTACAACCGTGAATATATACTACTACGATACAACGCGTAGTAGTATATATATATATATTTGGATGTAGTCACAGGAAGACTGAATCCATAAGAAAGACTTGGATGAAATTTTTTTTGACAAAAAGTTCGACAACTGAAGTATGAAGCTAAAAAAAAGAAGTGGGTCCAATTTTTTCCGTCTGAGTGAGGTAGTTGAACGGAAATCCAAAAAGCGAAATTTACTTGGAAAAAGTGAAATTTTCGTTGTCTAAGGACAGTTGATATTACTTTCATTAGAATCGAATTCACTTTGTTTATCTCAGAGACTATTTACGACTGACCCGCGGGTGACAAAGTCGACGGTCGTTTTTTTTTTGCAGAGACTGTCAAGTCACGCATTATTGCAATAAATGTGAAATGATTTCAACCATAAAATCGAAATGAGGCCTTTCTCAATTCAATCTAATAATAAGTGAATGCTCCCTCCATATGTATGCGATGAAAAAAACATATTTTTCGCGGGGAAGAAGTCTGTCGAAAATAAAGCCTAATCATATAGGGAACCACGGGCCTCTCGTCCGGTTACCAATCCATGTAGGGCATGGGATTAGTTGGACATGTAGCCTATTTGTTTTCGGAAGCATGATTTTCTGGCATGGTTGTAAACATTACCTCGTTTTAGCATGCTATTTGCTAAGTTTCGGAAATTTCAGTACGAATCAAATAACTCAATGATTATTTTGTCTACATATTTAGTTTAATTGCTGCTAATCAAAAATTAGCCTAGGAGTAACTGGCTAAACTTTTCTACAGGTATTTGAATAACAGGGTTGCATATTTTGAATTAAAATGATTGTTTGTAACATATAAACCAGCTAAGGTGCTAACTCGCGAAACTACTCTTAAAATGAGCACCAAAAATGTTGTAATTCTAGAATATAGGAAGAATTTTTGTGGAGATAAGGGTCGGGGAAACGTCGATTGTGGACTCACCATCACCACTGTCGGTCATACAAGACACACACACACACAATGTCAACTTCCAATTAAATAAAAGAACATTGAGGAAAACATGTGTAATTGCGCAAACTCTACAGCTTGACTCTGCTGCCCCCACAACATGTTGCCCCTTTCGCCCCTCTCTAGGCATGCCACTGTTTATACACGTCCGTGAGTGCCAAAACACTCAAAATTTTTGTTATAGTAAAGTGTATGGGAAATTTTATCCTCAAATTTCCACAACATGATAATGGCCAATCATGGAAAACACAAGTCCATAAACAATTTTATAATGTCATAATTGCTTAGTCCATACAACATAAAAAAAATACAAAATAGAGAAGTTTTCAATTATATAGCAACATAGTTCGGTACCAAGAACATTAACTTGTCCGTTAGGAGACAGCACAATAAGTCATTTGAAGCATAACACCACTCCAGGGTGAATTACAGAAAAATGCAGACATACCACAAAATTCAATCGATTAAACAAGAATAAGGTGCTTTTAATTATCAAAACTTGCATAATATAGATCAAGAAGGTGATGCTCGAGAATTTTTTTCCTAAGGAGGGGATTCATTTATTCCACAATTGAATATCACAAGATCCTGTGAATCACTTAGCTGGACACTGAAACGAGTTTTCAAACAGAAAAATAATGGTTCTTCAAATATCGCTAACATTATGTTAACAAAGCACAGAGCAGTAAGTGAAAGATAAAGAGCATAGATGTGCATTAAATATCATAAAGAATTCAATCCTTCCACAGAGTCAACTTGATTGATAAAAATTCTGAATCGAGAGTAAGAAACGAAGCACCCAATTGATCATACAATTTACTCCATTTGCGTTTAATAAGCTCATTTTTAAAATATGTACTTTCTAGAAGAGGATGTCACGGTCACGGCAGCAAAATACTATCGACAGCTTCAAGAAGCAACGTCTCTTCAGAAGAGCTTTGTGATCCTGCATCTGATACATCTACCCTTATTCGTTTCGAATCACCAGGACTTGAAGTCGATTCATATGAAATTAAACGATTGTTAAAGTTCGACCTGCATTCAGAGTCACTCGCACTACTTTCACGTACAGTTTTATAAAAATGCGGTGAAGATGAAACTTCTTGATCAAAACCTGATGAGTCTGTTTCATTTTTCAAATATGTATCCAGCTGAAGGCAGTTTTGCGGACTTGTGCCAGCGGTCCCTGTATCCAAATTATCTGTTACAAGACAGGTTGTTAGAAAATTGATATTGACAGTATTTTTCTATAAATGAAAACCGACTTACCATCAATATCAGTTGTATTCGCTTCCTCTGAAGACCGCCTTGGAAAATACTCTTTTATGAGTGAGGGATTTTCTGAAAAATTTGAAGAGATATGAAAAACTGATTAAAGAATGTTATATCTGACTGGTTGAACACTTATGTTTGATCAAATCCTGAATGCTTTCAATATGACTGCTGGTAATAAGCAAAAAAATACACAGCGCTTAGATCTGGCAACCTTATTTGAGTGAACTCTATAACCCCCAATAGATCATTGTGTTGAATACATTATCCAAATGAATTCTGATGAATTTAGTACCAATTCTATTATTTTAATTATCTTATTAAATATTTCAAATCCAAAAATAATAAAACAATATTATTGCTTGGATGTATATACCTTTTAACTTTGCCTTGTCTTCAGCAAGTTTGGCTTTTTCTTTTTGCAGGAACATTCTTTCGATTCATAAACCATTTCAGCAGAACATGAATCTCTCTGAATAAAAAAATATGCAAAGGACACAATGTCAAAAAAGCATCTCCATAAATGTTTGCCATGTTGCCTATATCACAGAAACCCAAATCTTACAGTTGAATCGCGAAGTGATAGCAAGTGATACTTGTTCACCATCGCTCGAGTTCTAGCAACTATCCGATCAGCGATTTTGTCAAATATTTTTTCAGATTCTTCAAAATGCTCCTCTTTGACTTAAAACGAACGTTTAAAATTATTACAGATAATATGGGGATACATGAAATCAAGAATGAAAGATTGACTTACATTAGGTATATTGCACGTATGAAATGGAACAAGTCTTCTGATTGCATCTCGAACAGACTTGAAAGGATGTACACAATCAGGATTTTGGTCATTTTCTTTGTGGACATTCTAGTTGTTCCAGAACCCTAAATAAAAATATTATGACAGGATCGAAAATGCTGAAATTCTATTGATATGGTCAAACACTCCAAAATTATGAATTAATAATATTCGGAATCAAAATAAACTGGACAGAGCAATTAACAATCGAATGTTTATAATAATGATATGATAATCTAACTCACAATGATACTTTTGAAGTCGTAGGTGCTGGTCGTTTTATGGCTTTCTTTGGCATTTGCACAGTGATGTTGGCGGCAGTAGTGGCTACTTGATTAATAGAAATCGGAGAAAATTTCGAAGATGCCTGAGAAGGTTTTACAGGTGTTATACGCGTGGGGGACGGAGCGGCCAAACGAGTCGAACGTGGCTGATCTTGTGTGAGAGATATAGTTGGGTGCTGTACATTGCTCGATTGCTGTGAAGAAAAAACATCATCAAATACAATATACTTTCTTGCAGTTGAAAAATAGAAATTATTTATTTAATTATTGATTGCTACGGCAGAAAAATCAAAATGTCAATGCTGAATGCTCAAGACTCCAGGGGCATACAGAATTTTCGCCCGGCAAACTTTTTCAACAACAAGACGGTTTTACATACGCCTAGCGAGTTGTTTGAAAAACTAATACATAAATAGTATATAGGCCTGTAGTATAAAATAGTTAGATTCACAGGTTTGTGGTTGTAGCGCTGCCGCAAGGTACCAGTATATGTCGATACCGTGATGAATAAGTATAACATATATAAAAATTTTTGTGTATTTATGTATTATAATTTTTAAACAACTCCCAGGACAACTGAAAATCGAAATCCTAACTTTTACAATAAACCCAATACTCACATTGGTGGGGACAACTTGGACTTTATTTTTGCTGAACATCTACTTTCACATTTAGTATGAAAGGTTTCCCAGCTCGGATTGTTGCAGCACCTCGATAAAAAAAAAAATTAGCATGTTGTTTCTCCTAGATTTGGCCATAGCAATGTTCTACACATGACCACGATAATGTATTAGCATTGACTAATTATAATAAAGCATCTGTACTTTACAATAAAAATTAAAGTTTTGATACCTTTTGCATAAATAGTTGAGGATTTCTTAAATAATACTGTTGAACAGGTGGCGACATTGATTTAATTTGTGCTTGAAATGCAAGGACGAGCTGCCGCTGTTCTCTTGATAACTGATGGAGCTAAAAAAAAAAGGTATGGTTATTCACGATGAAAAAGTCTGAATACAAATTTTATTTCTAATAAAAAATTACCTTAGATGCAATTGTGCGATTTGTGAGTAGCTTCTTCACTTCATCAATCTGTCCTTCTGTTAATGTCGGGTCAACACGAAATGCCTGAACAGAAGATTGTTGGTCTACACCACCCTGCCGACTCACAGTCACGGATGAATTTGAAGCCACAGTAGTCTTAATTTAAGTAAAAACAAAATAAATAATAAGTTGTAGAAATTTTGTGTACATAAAAAATGTGGTTAATGGAAGAAACAATTTCAGTGGATTCATTTGTGCAAAGTCTTAGTAAAGATAGCCAAATTGCACTGATAAAAAAAACCAACGAACCACTGCAGCTGTTACTGAAGGCTTTAATATTGAGGCAAGCGACTTGGATCCTGCAAGTGTATTTTTCACAATGGTTGCTTGAGAAGATGAACTAGCATCCATCGCTTGTCCACCATCAACCGCAGTTGGTATTCTAGAATCAGCATTTGCAAGAGCTCTGGCTTGTAATGTAGCACGATGCTGCAATATAAATATTAGACTTCTTGAGCTGCGGAAAACGAAAATGCCAACATCTTTTGCAGATATATAACTGAGGCTGGAGTTTAGCCTCAAAACCATGCCATACCATAAAATTACAGTATGAAAAAGATCATAGTACTTTATCATAATGATTCATTATAATTTTGTTTTACCTGTTTTATAATAGTCTGCAGTTGAGAGGTCGTTAGTTTACTAGCTTGTTGTGGCGTCAGATTTAATCTTAACGTTGGACCCATTGATGCACGAGCAACCTGAATTTTGAACACAATAAGAAGGTATATACAGCATATGTGTTTAAAGAAATGGTAAAAAAAAAAACATAATTTTAAACAAGTAAAACCACACCAACCTGACCATTTGTTTCTGTCATCACAACCTGCGCATTTGATGTACTTCGATGCTGTTGCATAATGGGTTGTGATATATTGCTGTTAGTTAATGAGGTATTGTTGTTTTGCTTCAATATCGAATTGGTAAGAAGATTTCGAACTGTGGAGGATTTCAAAGTTGTCGCCACAGAAGGGGTGATTCGTGATACTGCAACAGTGGCACCAGTTTCAAAATTTGCAGAAGTCACAGTGCTTGAAATGGAACCAGGTTTGGCTACAACAGGTATGGCTAAAATGCTATTTGCTGTTGGTGCAACATCAACTGAGGTAGTGTTGGCAGAAGGTGATGCAATAGGAATATTAACACTGGCAATTTGTATTCCTTTTATTGGCATTTGACCAGACCTAAAAATAAGATAATAATCTTTGCAACTCAGATGAAAATTATCAAAGTATTTAGCTAAGTAAATAAATTCAGCTTACTTTGAAGGCTGGAGAGAGTTTTTTATAGATTTGGGATAGTTAGGTAGTGACGAAGCGACATTCTGTGCTGGTGTTGGAGCCTGAAGCACTTGGACATGTTGACTACTATTCAGTAGTATTGTTTGGCCATTTTGCAGAGTAATTTGTTGCGCTCCTCTTACCTGCGGTTGCGGTCTTATAAAAAAGAATATAGAAAACGTGTTTTACTAAGAAAAAATATGAATAGGGCATTTGTTTGGCAGTTTATACAGCAACACTCTTACTGTATGGACAGAAATGTAAGTATAGTTGCTGCTTATAGTTGTAAGTATAGTATAGTTGTCTGAAAGCAATGTTTTTTTATTATATTCAGTTACAATTTGATATCGCATTCTCAATAATTTAAAATAAGTTCACATCTTCATTAAACTGGCCAGAAAATTTCAAAACAAGTGTAGTATCTATTGTAGTAATATTGTACATATCTACAAATATTGCAGAATTACCTTTGTGAAATGACATTAATAACAGAGTTGTTGTGGTCCAATTTCACGAATTGCTGTTGGGGAGGTTGCTGTGTATTTTGCATCTCAGAAGTTTGCTGCTTCTGCAACAAATTGGCTGTGAGGGCTTTGACAAGCTGTAACAATATTCAAAAGGACATTTGTGAAAGAAATAAAAAAATATTTCAGCAACAAATTGTCCAATAAGTTTTTTTAATAAGCAACTTACTTGCGGATCACTTATGTTGATATTTTGTTTTGAGCTTGCGACTCTCAACACTGCAACATTAGAGTTTTGGTTGACTACGTTTGTTTGATGTGGTTGTACTGTCAATCCATTGATGTACTGGGCAGATGCAACATTTTGATTGACAGGAGATCTCACACGAATGTTATTTTGCTTTTGAAGCACAGTAATAAGCTGAGTTTGGTTTTGCTGAACAGCAGTGGGCTGGAGTATTTGAATAGGAGTGGACGTCCTTAATACATCAGCATTTTGTGTGACATGGGTATTGTTGTCGAGCACTATATTAGTGTCATTTTGAAAAGTATTGGGTGTCGCAATTCGAATTCCGACAGGCAAAGTCGCCGGTGAATTGTCTGCAGATAGCGAACTGGGTTGTGGATTAAGTAGAGTTGACAATGTTTGCGATGGAAGCCTTGTAAGCACTGGTGATGAAGCAACCGTTGATATTGCTTTCGAATAAGGTTGGTAAGTAGCAACTGTTGTGCTAGGTTGCGAGACGCTTTGCATCGAAACTTGTTGGACAGTTTGATATTGGTTTGCATAATTTGTCATCCCCTCATGCTGATTAGCAAAGGGGGAAACCGTTGTTGCAGATGATGAAGGTTGATTAGAATGTAATGAAACAGGTAAATGTTGGTAATTCTCTTGCTTAGCAAATTCAGTGGGCTGTTGCTCATATGATGTATGCCGTGCAGATTGTGCTGAGTTAATTGGTGCGGAAGTATTAAGAAATTGCGAAGTATCAAAACCAGACATCGAATTTGAGTCATTAGATTCATTAAAACTAGGAAATGGTGATTGGCCGTGAGCTTTAGTCTCATTATTAAACAGTGCATTTCCTTGGGAATCCAGAGCAGAAAGATCATCGCCCAATCCAACAGTTTCCACAGAGGAATTATTGAATGTGATTCCAAGCTCTCCAAAAATATCATTATCTTCCCCAGAGAGAATATCCGCTGCTTGAAGGGATTGTTGTAAAATGTCCATTTCTCTTTCTTTTTCCTGCAAGTGAGGTAAAGATTCTTATTAATTTATCTTCTAATACAGTATCATCAAGAAACAACTTTTAAGATTTTATTCAGATAACTATTTACAGACACTTACTTATAACAAAAATCATTGCAATTTCAACAGTCAAGTATGGGTCATGTATAAAATACAACTAAAAAGTACTTGCCACATTGGCAATGAGTTAGCATGGTACAATAAAACTTTTGCGTGACAAGTTACCAATCGGGATGCAGTGTGCACCAAATGAAGAATTAAAACAATTTTGAGACTAACATTTATGCCAAAGGATTCAGAATTCAATGCATCACTATACTTTTTATAGTCTCAGCTCTCCAGTAGTCACCCGTGCTCGGAGATAAGTTTCCAATGCTTTTGACAAATGTGCATCACATTGCTTTGAGCAAATTTTCTTATAACAAAAAGAGATTAGATAAATTGATAAAAAAGTAGTATTACCTTTTTTCACTGACCAGCATATCTGAACTTCAGAATTCACAAAGACTTTCCCTGAACAAGAATAAAGACGAGAGTTTAATAAAAAATAATGGTATACCATATAATCACCAAATAGAACAGCATTTCATAATGCACTGCTTTACAGTGTATATTTTTGACCTAAACATAGGCATACCATAGTCCCGTCCCAGTTTAGTCAGGACAGTCCAGATTTTAGCAATTTGTCCTACCGTCTAGGTCAGGGGTCAGCAAACTGCAGCTCGCGGGCCAAATGCGGCCCAGGAGCTTAATAGTTGCGGCCTTCGAACAACCCGAAAATGAATACATAAAACAAAAATTTATCTTAAAATTATTATTGGTTCTACACGAATTTTTGTTGTATCAAATGCTGATGTAGGACGCTTGTTATGTTGTATGTCGTTCGAGTTAATGTTGATTTTCAAAATTAAAAAATGTCTGGGAAACAGAGGGAAGTTCGAGACGAGGGTCGAATGCTCACGAGTGCTTGAACCGAAAAACATTTTTCTTACTTGCGCATTTAAAAACCAGTTAGCTCGATATGCCCAGTCAGCATCGCAGATATGAAAGTTTTCAATGTTAAACTCGATACAAATCGTGTCTTCGAAAATTCGGCCACAAGACCCACGACTGCACCACAGCTCATCTGTGCGACAGTGAGAAACATGTAATCTGCAAGTTGGAAGCTCATATTGCTGTGAGAAGTTTTATCTAAAATGCTTCACACTTGGAATAAAGTTTGTACTCGCTTGTCAGATAGTCATTTGGACACGTACCATGGGCAATTTGCCATAAAAACATCATTCTTCACAAAACAATGTATTGTTGGATAATATTTTGAAAAAAGAACACATTCACATATCATTATGGCAGGCTTTTAACACAGCAATAGAAGATGCAAATGCGCAATAATTTTAAGTTCAATATGGAGAATCTTCGAAGGCGGTAATATTGCGGCCCGCGCTACTGTAAAAGTTGATATTTGGCCCGCATGTACATAAAGTTTGCTGACCACTGGTCTAGGTTATTCAATATGAAAGTTATAAATATCTTTGTTCAATATTAATACAAAATTAACGGAAGCAGCCTATTTGCCACTAATTTGCAACTCACTTAAATGATTCAGTAAGAGAAATTGTCATAATTATTGTAAGAAGTATGAACCATATATGGTAATTTAACACCCAAGAGTGGACACTAACAGGCGCCTTCGGTTAACAATCAGGCAAAAAAGAGCCCAGGCAGGAAATCCGTGTAGTGTCAAATGTTTTACGGCTGGTAAAATTTAGTGTAAAATAGCTATTTTGTACATTATAAACTTTACTAAAGTTTTGATTGCTCTGCTGATTCTATTGCCAGTTTTTAAGTATTACTTTATTGCCTATCATGCTGATTATGCAGTTGAAACATTGGAAATATTAACCAAACAAGAAAAAGCTCAAAATTTGGAGTTCCAACAAGTATTATTGAGATGTTAGTAGAATTAAAATTCTGAGAATTGTATTCTACTCAAGTTTTTGAATAATTTGAGTAAAGCTTGAAACGAATCTAATACAGCCGATTTTTTTTCAGCGCTCCAAAACAGTTCGATTTTCACTCAAGCCATTGACTACTAAAAGTGAAGATTAGGAATTTGTACTATTACTTTGTATTGTATTACTTTTATTGAATATGCCTTACGGTAGATTAGCGAGAAACATCAATTACGGGCGCATTAGGTGATTTTTGAATGGTATTAAAGTGATTCTACTGATTACCAAATTAAAACATCACATAACCTTAATTTCTTTTTGAACAGAAACATCTGTTTTGTCGCTCGCTGCGTAGCTAACGGTTATCAAGGTGAATTTTTCAATTTTACACATCTACAATTCCTGCGGAACCCCCGCACGTCTGCTTTATTTCCAATCAAGGGGCATATTTACGTTTGATATAAGAATATATCCTTTTTGCTTTACCGATTGAGTTCGTTAGAATCCTATTTCCACTCATTCTTGAGTCTTCCCAACCAAGGAGAATTACAATGGAGATAAGGATTAAGATCAATTTCACATTACTAAGCGCAGCACAAGGTGTATATATATATATATGAGAATCATTGCGATAACCGAATCGTAGTCTTGCGGACCTAAAGCAGCAGAGAAATTATTCCTTTTCAACACAAAGCTGCAGGCTAAATTTATGATTAAAAACCAATGATAACATTACATATAATTTAGCTTATTGTGTCAAGTTTTGGGCTATGTAGCTGAGCAGCACCAAGTTATGCACCTAAACTGGTCCAATGAAATTCTATGATACAGTGATACCAATGAATCAAAGCTGACAGTGACAGCATGCTTCTGCCTAAAGCCTGTTAAGGCCATTTATTCCAGTATTCTGGCAGTTTAATCTAGTAGTTACTGAGGGATCAGAAAAGGTGGCCTGAAAATTTGCCCCAATTTGAACACCAAAATGAAAAGAAATGGAAAAAGCTGAATTTGAACCTCAAAAAATGGAAAAGTTTGAAAATTAGAGAGATGGCATGTCAGCTTATGAACTAGGTCGGGTGTTCACCACAGTTATACTGTATTTAGCATTGGAAACATGGAGGTTACTGCGGCCGAGAAAATGCTTGCCGTGCCGCCAGGGAGAGAACTGAATGTTCGACGTGCCCAGAACATGGATATGATTGGCCAAGGAGAAGAGAACGATGAAGTCAGCAAGCGCAGCTTCAACAACGCTCTTACTCGCACTAATTGCGTGGCCGAGCGAGTTCAAAATGATTGCTTCTCCCGTTTTAAAAAAACGATTTATTGAAACAGCAGCCCAACACAACAGCAAACCAACGGCCGGCGAGGAAGAAATGCGAGAATTTAATATAAAATATAAAAGAAACTCACCATCATGATGCGACGTTTCCTGTGTTCCGGGTCTTACCGAGAGAAACTTCCAGGGGTGCGTAGAAGAAGCACGCATTGCGCGCGCAGTACGTGTGTCTGGGAGATTATAATAAACAACTGAAAAAGAAATCGCCGTCATTCTTGCGTCTACGTCATAAACCTACATAAGCGCATGATCAGCTGCGTTTCTGACTATCTCGTTTATTTCGGAAAAATTCTTTCTGGCTGTAGGTTGTGTATGCCTCAATGAGCTGTCTTCTCTAACATTATTTCACGAGCGGATACGCTGTTTTTCGAGTAATGCCACATGAAAAAATAAATCTTTTGTAAAAATGAAGCTTTTCAAATTTGGGAATAACAACCTTTACTATGCTATTGACAGCACTGATGCTTCGAATACCATTGTGTATGATGCCACGGCCAGTTGTGTATTTGGTTGTAATACCCTCTCACTTTGTCGCTCCCAACATTGACCAATTTTACTGATTTCGACTGACTATCGCTACGTGTCTCCTACGGGAAATGTAAACTCTCCTTTTTTCGCCACTTTGTGTCGCCAGTAAGCCGCCATGGTGGCGGAATGACTACCGGTGATCTAAACTGAATAATATGCCCAATTTACTCATAATAATAAAAAATCAATCTTGGCTAGCAGACGGGGTATAAAATATCGACAATCTGCGCCATGGGAAGCAAATTCACCAAAGATTGGCCGTGACTTTATGCGCGAATCGTATTGGTGTTGTTTGCTGAAAAACATTTTGCGGGATTGCGTCACAGACATGCCATTGCCTGGATAATCCATCTCGGCGGGATTTTCAAATTTATCTTAGAAATAGAAAAATTGATAAGACGGTCAATCATGTGGCAAACAACGGCCCAGCGTAGTTGTCGACAAACAACATACACGTTCTCACTGGTCAGTAAGCTTATTGATATATACAAATTTTTCAATACAACTTTGTTGTTGTTATATATTTCCAGTCACTGAATATTTCGAAGCTCCTCCCCATTTGTTTTGCCTATACTTACTACAGACCATGTCATTTTTAAAGTCTAAAATAGTTTTCTATATCTACTTTCTATATTTTTTCCAACATTTGCTTTTAACTAGAAGTGAAAAGATTAATGACCCCAAAAATTCCCCGATAAAGGCGTCTATTCACAACAACGGCGCCGACAAGAACAACAGCCAAAATTCAGAAAAATTGAACCATAGGTCCATTTGGTGCCCACAAAATGTAGATAAAATCTAATCCCAAGGCTGTGTTCCTATACTCTCACTGATTCTAAGTTATTTCCACCTCCCGATGTAATCTGAAATAATGCCGGAGATTTCAGGAACGAGTTTTTGCCTTTATTGAACATTTTATCGCTTGTTATGTTTCATATGAATCTAAATAAATTAGATTGCTTGAAATCAAACACGATGCCGTAATTGTTTTATTTATATTTGGCGTTTCGAAAAGATGTGTATCAGATTTAACGCAAAGCGTGTCATGTTAATTGTATCTTCCCGTACATTAGTTTATATGTCGTTACATGCTGGTTATCATGCAACGTTACGTTCTTGCATTGCTTTAATAAACTATAGGTTTGAATTAGGTTTTCAATACACCAATAGAAACTTTATAATTTTCAAAGTTGCCACGTATAGCGCAACATATCTTATAATAGGATTATCAGTACCATTAAAATGTCATAATGATATATAATATAAGATATAATAAATTTATTAATATTGACCAGTACAGAGGCCATCGGGGATTTTCTAATGGTGGGACGTTGATACAATTCCCTACGTCGGTACCGATGACATTTTGTTTTAAAATCGTGGATCGCAGATGACCTATGCGCATTTGCAATTTTGAACCATCCCAGACAAATTTAGAAAACTCGCCTGACGTGAATCTTCTCGGCCGAGTTTTCATCTGCCCTCTTCCCATATGGCGCAGAAGGAAAAAAGTCAGGAACATGCAACATATAAACATGGTATGCACTACAACAGCGTTAACCAAAAATTTTCAGCCACGGAACACTTAAACTTTTTATCTCGCCTCGCGGATCACCAACAAATGAAAGAGTAAAATTGATATAGAAAAATTGTGTAATGTAGCGGTTCCCAATGGGTTCGCCGTGCAATTGCAATTACATTTATTATAAATGTTTTATTGTTTCATAATTCAAATGCTGTGTATATTAATCAATTCATTCATGTACCATTGGTAACAGTCCATTTGAACCCATGTGTATATCCGCGGGTTCAATCTATATGCGATGCTAAACCCTTGGGGGGAGGGTTAGTAGGGGTTCAAATATCCGCAAAACAAAAAATTTCCATATTGGGCAATAGCATCAAAGTGACTATAGTAACTTTGAATAGCATGCAGGTGCAATTGTCGTGAATTCAAATGTACGTGGGTTCAAATGTACGGGAACCGTACCATTATAAAAATTGATTTAAAATGTATTGTATCCAAATGGATTTATGTGGTAAGGTAAGGTAAGGTAAAGGGTTTAATGGCGTCTTTGACAACACGGTCTTTTACGCCAATTTTCAAAAGGAGTAGTCAGAATGATACAATAAAAACATGTTTACAACTCTCGTTTGGTGGATATAGCAAATTTAATAATTATTGGAATCAAATTAGGAACATTGAAAATACAAATAATTTCCCAGGGTACATTCATTTTTGCTGCTTCACGTCTTAATTCGCATCGTAAATTATTATACTTGGGACAATATAAAATAAAATGGGAAACAGTTTCATTTGTGTCACATCGACTACATTGCCCTGTGGGATGTAGCCCTATTTTAAATAAATGATAGTTAAGTCTGATATGTCCAGTTTGAAGACGAAAAAATATTATTTCTTCTTGGCGGGAAACTTTGAAATAAACATTATTTTGGGCTATTTGAGGTCGAAAGTTTTTGTAATGGCTTGCAGTATCGTTTGCTTGATATGTTAAATTCCATTTCGCAAGACATGCTTTGCTTGCACAATGTCTTAGCTTCT